GTCCAGAATAAGTCATGAGGTAAACTGAGATCAGGTAGCAGCTGAGAAACTGCCCTGCCTTGCAAATGGGAAGAGCATCAAATCCACCTTGTAAAGGGGCTTGGAGGAGGTTGACAGAGAACCTTATTTACTGACCTTTTGATAAACAGAATGACCGTTCTGGTAGAGGTGCCAGAAAGACACTTGGTTCCAAGGGAGAGTGAGTTCCTTGTTTCTGTATCAGGACTGCGCAGGCCGCCTGGCTTTGCAGAGCCTTTTGCCACTCAGCTGGAGGAAGCTGGCGAAGGCTGTAAGTCCACTTTGTCTGCTTCCCACCTCCCCAAACGCTCAGCCTCGCACAGGACAGGAAGCCCCTCCACTGCCACCTAAAGGAAGGAACTTTGGGAGGAAAGGGCTTCTGAGACTATTTTTAATTATGTGTACTGGTGTCTCTGCATGGATAAGTGCACATGAGTGCAGGTGCCGATGGAGGCCAGAAGAGGGCGTCAAATCTCCCCGAGCTGTAGTTATAGGTGGTTGTGAGCTGCCTGGATGTGGCTGCTGGGAACTGAACTCAGGTCCTCTGCAAGAGCAGTACCTGCCCTTTACCACGGAGCCATCTCTCCGGCACCTAGGAGGAAGGGACCGATTGTTCTTCTAGTTTTAATATCTTGAAGAATGAAAAGCAAAAATGAGATAGAGAATAGGAATTCTGAAAGGTGTGATTTCTGAGTTCTTCCAAACCAGCAGGGAGGATGGGGAACGAGGAGGAGGGATGAGGAGGGACCGCGGCGGCCACGTCGCCGACCCAGCTTGCAGGGTTCCTTGTCTGAGTTCCTCTTCTTCTGAACGCTGCCTGTACCCCATTGTGTCTGTGCTGACAGCCTAGGGGAAGGTGGGAATCCGCAATCCCCTGGTGCAGGCAGGGCTTGAATGTGCCATCCTCCTGCCTCAGCCTTCTAATGCACCACCGTGCCTGGCTGGGACTCCAAACTCTCCAACTGTTCCCCAGCCTTGATGTTCTTCTCACACTGGCTAACTTTCCAAGATCCCATCTTGAACCGGGGTCTACTAATTTTTGTACGCTCCTCATCCTTACTTCAACCAGAGGGCTATTACGGTGGGGTTGGGCGGAGGCGCGCGCACAGCGTCCCGACTCCATCCCTCCTTTCCCAAGTGGAACTGGACTGCACTAATTGACCTGGAGGGTCTCAGCTGTGCTAAGTTGGGTGTTTGTTAGATCTCGTTAGGCTGGTAATTAGTGCGGGGAATCTAGGTCAGAGGCAACCAGTTGGAGCGCTGGCCTCCTGGGGCCTTAATAAAGGTGGGAAAGAGCAAGCACATTCCTCCTTTTTGTGTGTGTGTGTGTGTGGTGGGTGAACCAGGGACAGGGGACAGTGGGACTCGTGGTACATGCAGAGAGACACAGGGTCACGTGCAGAAAAGCACGCAAACTCTCTCTCTCTCTCTCTTTCTCTCTCTCTCTCTCTCTCTCTCTCTCTCTCTCT